TATATACACACATACACACATCTATAGATATGCATTTGTGCATACATACATACATACATACATGCATACATGCATACATGCATACATGCATACATGCATACATGCATACATACATACATACATACATACATACATACTACATCCATCCATGCATGCATGCATGCATGCATGCATGCACAGACGCATATACAGATACATATATATATATATACACATACATGCATACATGCATACATACATATGTACATGCATTCATGCATGCATGCTGTATACATGCATATACATGCATACATACATACACACACATATATATATATACATATATAAATATTGATATTGATTGTGTATGTGCAGGTGGACCTGTATGCCGTTCTGCTTAGGCTTATGTCTTCGTTCATATATCTATCTACATTTGGCTGTTTGCGACTATTTGTTTCTGTAACGTTGCACTTGAAGCGAGTTGCACGTTGCACTTCCACTCCGAGGCTCTGCGGTAGCACTCTTTTGTTCCCGAAGTAGTTTACTGCAGGGGTGTCTGTTGATGTGAAGAGGACTGCCGTTACTTCGCATTGTGTGTGGGTGTCCAATGCCGAGGGTTTCGACGCTTGTCTCCCTTCAACCGTGTGGGGTCTTCGGCGGTGCAATCTTCGAGACTAGCACATACTCTACATTTTGGAACAACCTAAGCCAGAGCCCCTTTTCATTGAACTTGGCGTGTTAGTTTGGGTGTTGCCAGGCGTGTCGAATAACAGACCTCAATTTGTTGTTATTGATCCATCAAACGATAATATCATGTTTTCACTAGTCAATCGAGCTTTGTGGAAAGCCTTCGTGGGTTGGCTCGCCAGCCTCGCCGCAAGAGTGTCACGTATGCTCTTCGCTTCTTCCGTCATGATGACCACAATTGTGCCATAACGTCTCTAAGTATAGCGGACTATAGTCGCAACATAAATGTCAAAATGGAACAAGTAGAGTTTACCATATGTTTACTGAGCCATATGTATAGTGCACAATATTTACATATGTATATATATATATGCACATTGCAACTGTAGTTATATGTTGCTTCCATGCTCGTCTCTTTATGCAGGCCCCGGCTTCGACGCGAAAGTCCCGAGAATCGGAGGTAGGACCTAAACCCCGAACCCAAAACCTACATTGTCCTTGCTGAGTAGGCGGGACAAAAACATGAAGAAATCCTAAACCAAACCCTCCAAACCCTGAACCAGCATCATTATCGTTCATCACAACCATTACCATTGCTAGCATTCAACCCCAAACCCTGGGACGTACCGAAGCCCTTTGGGTTACTTGCGGGGAGGATCTCGGCTGCCCGCAAGGGGTGGCCCGCTCCGTGCGAGCACCCTCGGAGGCGGAGATGGCAGCCATGAGAACCCTAAGCTAGATGTACCCTAACCCACCAGGTACCTACTATGTAGGGTACTAGAGCCCCTGGGGCCCTAAATAGTAGGTACCTGGGGGTTAGGATGTATATAAAAAGAACTATAGTTCTGGGATTCCGCCGTTTTAGTTATAACCTACACATACCACAAATATTCATTAAGGCTGTAGGAATTTTCTCTTAAGCCTAGACAGACTATACTACAGGTACAATATACCATAGTTCTACGATTCTATATCAATCACAAGACTATAGCTATTTTCCCCGTAAGCCTGAACACGCAAAGTGAAATGTGTAATTCTAAAACCCAAAAGGCTTTGATTGCTCTTGTGAGTAGGTGGAGGTTTCTCATGCATCACGCTCGGTAGCTTCCCCCTTGCTAGCGGGCATCAATGCCAGTGCGAACTCAAAACCCCAAGCCCCAAATTCTAACGCCTTGACCCTAAACACTAAGCCCTAAACCCTAAGCCCTAGACCCGAAACCTTCAACCCTTTAGAAACCCCGAAACCTTAGACCCTAAACCCTAAGCCCTAAACCCTAAACCCCTAAATCCTAAGCCCTAAGCCGCACTGAGAGGCCTCGGGCATCGCGCGCAGCGGCGCCCTGGAGCTGATGCTGCCGGCCGAGGCCAGAAACCGTGGTAGGATCGTGGGCTTAGCTTTTTGGCCCTTAGTCAGGTTTTGAAGCTCTGGATTTTTTTTAGATAGATGCTATCTCGGGCTTGAGTGCAGGTGCGGTTCTGGGTGTGGCTCGGAGCCGTTCCATGCCAAACCCAAGTCATGTTTCGACGTTTCGCTTCAAACTCCCAAGCCCGAAACGGTATGCCCCGTGGTAGCTCTTGAAGGGAGCACGAAACTTAAACCCCACCTAAACCTGAAGCCTTTTGAACCATAAGCCCGGAGCCCTCATCACCCAAGGCCCACCTTCTAGTGCAGGGCCGCAAGAGGTCCACTCTGAGGCCGGACAGTTCCGTAAGATGCGCCGAGGTTCCAGGTAGTTCTGGCAGCAGACAGGTTAGGGTTTTGCAGTTGGCTCTCTACGGGCTTTGCACAAGGTGTTTATGTGCCTTTGTTTTTGCATGATAGGGTTCAAGCAGTATGTTTGTGTGTGTTGAACTCTTGGTTGCCACTTCTGGCATTGCGGGGAGATGCACCTTGGGACTTCGTGCTGGGGTGTGTACGACGGCCTCGTTGGATGGGGGCAGCGGAAGACGGAAGCATTGTATCACGGGCTTGGCCATGGTGCTTAGAAGCCGCAAGCACTTGGTGTCTTGCCAGTCCCTGGCTTGTTGGGAGAACACTTGGCTGGTTAATGCGGCCAATCAAGTCAACGAATCCCATCTCAAGGTCAAGGTTCAGATCCGGCATCAGCTGGAAGCCGTTCTTTTAGGTACTCCTTGGATCCCTCCAGCGTGTTCGAGCTCCCCTGCCGTACTAGATTCGCGTGCTGTTTGGGCAGAACAGGGAACCCTAACTGGGAACCGAGATTTGCAGATCCCTCTAGAAGAACTCGACGCCTTGAGGGCGCTCCACCATGCTCGGAGACTGGAGCAATCTCTGCTCAGCTACCGGGATGCAGGGCCGGGGGGGCCTCCTTCAGGAGGCCGTCCTCAGGAATTGCGACTCGAGTAGTTTCTGGTCTAGTTCCCATAGTGGTGTTTGGGGCCCGGCAGCTCCAGCTTGCCACAGGATTTTGGGAGGACACTTTCCTTCTATGGGGCAGTGAAGCTTTGGAGCTTCCAAATCCGTTTCTTCAAACATTCTTCGTCAGATCTGCCAAACTTGCAGCAGAGACCTGCCGCTAAGCCTCAAGCCATTGTCTTTGTGTGAGCGCCGAAACCCTGTACCATAGTAGTAGATGATGATTTGCGAGCTTCCCATGATGTATCCCCTCCGCATCAAGTCATTTCTGTTGCTTCTCGGGCCAGTCGCTGTGGAGCCTTGCCTGCCTTGCGCGAGTGCGAGAGTCGAAGCCCTCAACCCCAAAACCCCTGAACCCCTCAACCCTAAACCCCCTTAGCCCTAAACCCCGAAACCATGCCGGCCTTGTGCGAGTGTGTGAGTCGAAACCCCGAAACCCTTAACCCAAAACCCCCCAAAACCACAAAAAAAAATTGCCAAAAACCCACCCAAAAAACCACCAAAAAACCTCCCAAGAACCCCCCTCAAAAAACCTCCCAAAAACCCTGCGTCAGGTTACAACCGGGCCTCCTGGGTGGAAGTCCCCACGCGCGAGCTCCGAGCCGAGGAGGCCCTCTGCGCTCGGCGGGTCGGGGCATCGGGTCGTCCTGTCGTCATGTTAGCAGTTTTTATTCTGGGGTTTAGGGTTCCGGGTTTAGGGTTTAGGGTTTCGGGTTGAGGGTTTAGGGTTTAGGGTGTAGGGTTTAGGGTTTAGGGTTTTGGGGTATTCTAGCATAGTACCTCTTAGGTCATAGTAGAGCTATGCAAGAGCAGATCATAGGACATTTATCCGCAGAGGAGCCCGAGCTCCAGAGCCTCGGAGAGCATCCCAAGAAAGGGGCCCTTACCCATAGGCCCCTAAGTAGTTCCTTTTTGGGATTACCTTATAGGATTCTAAATACAAACCACAACAATTGAACTACTTAGGGGCCTATGGGTATATTGAGGATCGTATCGCATTGGAGGCTTGTCTTGCTGTTGCAGGTTCGCCCCGCGGGAGAGAACGGGCCCCTGATCCTCTGCCTGGACACCAGCGGGAGCATGGCACGAAAAGGCCGGTGGTCTGCGGTCGAAATTCGACGGCAGTCTGAGTTCCAGCAGCTACATATCCTCAGGCTGAACATGTGCGTCGAAGCCCGGCCATAATTTCAGCGAGGTGAGGCTCTGAGCCGGAATCCCGGAAGCTTGAACTTAGCCTAAACCCTTAAGGCCTGAACGCAAAGTTCTTCACCCTGCCAACCAACGATGGAAGGACTCTCGGCTTCGAGCCTCAGTGGTTCAGGTCAGGAAGGAAAACGGTGTTCTGGAGTAAAAGGTATGCCGACTGGAAAACAGCCACAGCCCACAGCTTGTGCCCGTGCCCTGGAATTTTTTCAGCGTAGACCAGACCTTGGCTGACAAGTGAGGTCGAACAATGGTTAACGTCGCTCGCATTCGTATTATTAGTATGAAATCCATGCTGATGACCATAGCAAGAATACTATTACTAGTCACGATGTCACATATGATTTGTTCTAGTTATAACTGTAAGTATTGGTATTCTTCTTCGTAGTCGTATATAAGTAGACCCCAAAAAGCCAAGCTCGCCTCCGCTTCTTTCGGGTAGAGAATGGTGACCCTTTATATTCTAGTAGCCCTTATCTAGCAATTCATAGATAGAAACGCACGCACACACACACACAGGGATATATATATATATATATATGTATGTATGTATGTATGTATGTACGTACGTATGTAAAAATGTATGTATGGATGTATACAAGGATGCACATATCCAGAACTCTTACAGCAATTGCCTATGTTCCCCCGTATGTCGTCTCCAATGTGCCCGCCCCGGCCGGATTTCGGGGCCTCTTCGGATTTTTCGAGTTCCGGACGCTGGTTGATGCAGGCGGTGCCCCGGAGACCGTGGCTAAGGCGCTGGTGCTCCTTGGCTGTGGTCGGACTAGTATCCCTTATAGTACACATAACGTAATACTATAAGAGAACGATATATATGGATAGACAGATAGATGGATATGTATATGTATGTGTATATGTGTATGTATATGTATCATATGTATATGTACATGTGTTATGTGGATGTGGTGTCCGTGTAGGTGTGTGTGTGTGTGTGCGTGTCTCTATGCACCAGTGTTTCTGGTGCATGGCGATGAACAAAATGGGATCTGAAGTGGTCACTGCCCCGATGTTGGTGCCGCTTGCTACGACGGCTGATGGGGACAACAGGATGCCAGATGAGAGGACCTGGACTGTGAACTCCCTGGAATTTCTCTTGTGGAGAAAAACATTCTGCCTCTCGCGCGGACTGGACCGCCAGCATACAGGCAAACACAGTGGCCCTTAACTTCAGTGTGGACAGGCACCGCCCTTTAGGAAGGTGTTTGTCGACATCATCATAGTGCCAGATGCTGTAAAGTTTTGGACCCTGGGTCGCTGGATGAAGTGATACTCAACGTGGGACGAAGCCCGGCCTACTGGAAAGGATAACCGACGACGGAGGACCTTCCTGCTTCAGGTTGGAGGTGCCGAAGCCCTCGAGCGTCCCAAGCACGCCGTGCCCCTGTATTCGAGTAGGGGGTGCATATTGGAAGATGACAACGACGACACTCACTGCGGCACCGACTGATGTCATGTGCTGCATGTCTCGAGGTGGACCTGCCAATGGGTTCACTGTGGCAGATGTCGCATGTGCTGGGGCTGGCATATTGTCTTTACTGGCCTCAGAACCTGCCTGGTACCTATGTGGGATTGTGATATCTGTGGTGAGGCACTTTTTTTCCTGTTTGGACTGCTTCTGCTGCTCGAGCACGCCGGCAGATGAGTTCGTGGGACCTTATAATTTTTCTTCCTGCTTAGACTGCCACCTGGCTGCTCGTGGCCGCTGTCTGGACCGTGTCGTGCATAAACAGATGGGATGGACATGACAGTTTGGGGCTCTGTGCAGGATTCCTGAGTAGGCTGAGCTGTAGAAGGTACTCGGATGCCCTACTTATGTTGGGGTGTTCGACTTGCTGTGATCGTGTAGTTGCTGCCAGCATACAGTGAAAGTTTTGACCGTTTCGCTCGATGGTACTTCCTGCCAGTGACACGGACTGGCCAAGTTGGACATGGCCAAAGATCCATGTGATCGGCAGTCGACTCTGTGCGTTACGCACTGGGTTGCACTCTCAGACCTTCTCTTCTCCCGTTACCTCGCCTGACGCGTCGAGTGCGAGTGCTAAATGTGTGCGTGCATGCATGGTCGCATGCACGCATGCACGCATGCACGCATGCACGCATGTATGTATGTATGTATGTATGTATGTACGTATGTGTGTATACATGCGCATGGCAAAGATATATGTGCACGAATGTATGTATATATATATGTATATATAAATAAATAAATATAATATCTCTGTCTCTCCCTCTCTCTCAGACTCTCTGTCTCTCTTCTTCGGAGGCCACTTGGGTCCAAACGGGTCCGATCGGTACATGTTGATGCATATGTACATGCTTACGTACATCCAGCATGGTGTCTTTGCTTTCGGAGTCTTGATGTCTCTTTTTTGGTTCCGGGTTCAGGGTTTTGGAGCTCTGGGTAGAAGGAGCTTCCAGGCGACGAGGCAAGTCCGCAGGGTTTGTTTGTCGCAAGGTTCGAGTGCCTCCGCCAAGCCCAAGAGCAACAGCGGCGCTGCTGCCTCTTCGCCTTTTCCACAGGCGAAAAGGGGCCTGGCCGGTGAGGTCTGGGAATCAAACCTCCTGGAGCATGAGCCCTAGACTCCGCGCCTCCCAAGGCCCAAGGCTTCGGCGATCTACTGGACCCGCGGGCAGGTGAAACATCCCAACCTAAAAAAACTTAGCCCCTAAGGCTGCAATACAAGCCTTCAAGCACTAACATCCTAAGATTTAGGCAAAGCAAAGCTGAAATTAAAACCCTTTGGAGCCATGATTGTAAGCCTTCTGGGACTCTGTCAGGAACCTGAAAAGACTTTCCCTAAGGCCTCTGGAAGAGCCCTTTAAACCCTAAACCCTAAACCCCTAAACCCCTAAACCCCTAAACCCTAAACCCCTAAACCCTAAACCCCTAAACCCTAAACCCCTAAACCCTAAACCCTAAACCCTACGAAAGGAGCCGAGCTTCAGCAGCTGGAGCTGGATCTGACGGCGGCCGGTCTGGGCCGTTACCTGATGCCTGAGATCCGGTTGGGTTTAGGGTTAAGGGTTTAGAGTTTAGGGCTTTAGGGTTTAGGGTTTGGGAGAGGATAGCGGTCCTGTTTTAAAGTCTTTTTGAGAAACTTTCTGAAACCGTCAAACCCAAAAACCCCGTATCAACACCTTATAGCCCTCTAGAAAGCCTTAGCTTTTAGGCAGGGTATTCATAGTATGACCGTGTATTACTCTGTTATTGGCGGACGGTCCTATGGAGTTCCTAGGCATGGCCGCCAGTATCAGCCCTGTATGCCTGTCGATGTTTGAGTGCGTACATCCCAACTTGCTTCAACTAATCCCTCCGGAAGCGTGCTTCTTGGGGCGCATGAAGCCTCCACCTCAAATCTCTCCCTCAACCCCGGACGTGTGTCTGCCACCACATGCGCCCATCATTGCACACCTGTACCTGTGTAGATAAGTCATGTTTCTGCACGTGCGCAGGTTTATGTCCGCATGTGTGCATGCACGTCCACAATTCATACATATACAGACGCAGATGCACGTACTCATCTACTGGGGCAGCATACGCCCGTGTATACGTACATGCGCATACGTGTGTATGTGTATGCATCTGCATACATAAACATACCCCGCATATGCACATGTACATACACATTCACGTGCGCATGCACATGACAGTCACAAATACATACACATACCTGCAAACATGCTCATGTACACATGCACACACGGGCGACAGCAGACACACTCACAGAGGTATATGTGTGAACATAAATAAATTAAATAAATAAATAAATATATATATATATATACATATATATATATATATGTGTCTGTGTGTGTGTGTGTAAAACATACGAAGAATCACACGTGCCCATGCACAGCCATACATACAAATGTGCGCATGCACGGCAACATGCCCATGCAGAAGCACGCAAGTGTGCATCTACATGAAAGCTTTAAACTGTACACATAGACATGTGTATGGACGTGTGCCTTCACACATGTATATGATGCATGCATGCATGCTCATGCATACACGCAAGCGCGCACACACACACACACATATATATATATATGTATATATATATATATAGATTGTAGGTATACACACATACCAGAATACATACATACATGCATACAGACATAAACACCCGTACAGATGTACGCATGTGCATGTTGACACTCGTGCAGCAGCATGCAGACATGCACACATATATACATACAGATGTGCAGACGTGCATATGTGCATACTGCAGGCAGACATGTGCGCGCACACACACACACACACATACACCGGTGTGTATGCTGATACATACACAAACAAACATATATATATATGCACATATGTTTGCATGTATGTTATGTTGTGTTATGTTATGTTATGTTATATTATGTTATGTTATGTTATGTTATGTTGTGTTGTGTTGTGTTGTGTTGTGCTGTTGTGTTGTGTTGTGTTGTGTTGTGTTGTGTTGTGTTGTGTTGTGTTGTGTTGTGTTGTGTTGTGTCGTCTTGGTGTTGTGTTGTGTTGTGTTGTTTCTGTTATGTATGTACGTATGTATGTATGTGTGTATGTATGTTTGTTTGTTTGTTTGTTTGTTTGTATCTCTGCGTGTGTATGTATGTGTGTATGTGTGTGTATGTACATGTGTGTATGTGTGTTTGTATGTGCATGTGTAGGTAGGGGTATGTGTACGTGTATGCATAGATATGCATGCATGCATGCATGCATCCTGATGTGCAGGCAGAAATGCCTGCACACATGCATGCTATCCCCACCCCCGCTTCCCCGGTGCAGCAGAACAAGGACTGCTGGAGTTCCTCAGCTTCGCTTTCCATGGCGGCACCTCGCTCAACGAGGCCGTTGGGCCTGGAGGTCTTCGAAGTTTAGGCTGACCTGGAGTTCGGTGTGATAGAATAGAATTCAGTATAATACAGCATAATATAACATAGTATATATGTACACACACACACACACATATATATATATATATGTATATTATGGGGCTTCGAGTCCTGACTATATCCTGTCATGGACCGAGACTTGGAAAGCTCCCAACCTCAGCCATCTGGAGAGTTAGGCTTCTCAGGTATTTCCTGCAGAATCCTGGGGACATCTGCGGCAGACGCAAGCGTTGTGAAGCTGCGCCCCAGACCCCGAGCCAAACCTTGGTGTCGAAGAGGAGGCATTCTGGAAAGGACTGCTTAGCTACTTGCTTGCAGGAGCATACCAAAGCCCAGAACCCATGGGAACCTACAGCCCAGACCTCAAGCAGATCCCTTTCGTGGAAAGCCAGAGGTCCTCCTCGCCAGTGTCGAGCGATTGGGCAGCTCTCAGCAGTGGCAGAACGCCGACCTGCTGCTGGTCACGGCGCCCGGCCATCCGTTTAGTGTTACTGTAGCAAGAGGAAGAGCAACAGCAGTAGCGATATTTGGAGATAGTTGCTAATCGCGCAACTTTGACCTTTTATGTCGTGTTCAGCTTTCTCCATTGCACGAAGTAGCCAACCAGTAACCCCTAAACTCTCAACCCTGACGACACACTAGGTCCCTCCGCCCCTAAACCCTAAACCTTAAACGCACTACCAAAGCCCTTAAGCCCTCCACTGCAAGCTGCCTTCGAGGATGGTGAGGTGCCGAGGCCCACCGACGGCGTGTCGCTCCGCCTGAACTAGGCTCCGCAGGTCTGGAGGGTTTACGTTTTCGTGGCTGAGGGTTTAGGGTTTAGGGTTGAGAAAAGGTGGATCTAGGACTCAGGGTTGATTGCTAGATGTGGGGTAGTATGCCATTTTGGATCAGATTCGGATTCAGGGTCTGGGCTTGTCGTGCAGCCAAGAGCTGTGCGAAGGCAGCACTCGGGTGGGGGTTACAGTAAGGACTTGTGTCGGGCGAATGAAATGGCTAAGCCAGTTTCGAGCGTGAAGCAGAGAGTTTGTTTTGCGCCCACGGACGGCTTCGACTTCTCCAGCGCTTGATTGTGAGGTTTCCGACAAGTTTGACCCTATAGTACCGGGCACTGAATGGATGTTTGAGCAGAAGCGCCCGTGGCAGAGATGCATCTCGAACCGACCCCGACAATCACCTGAAGTCTCAAAGTGGGCCAAGCCAAGCGATCAATCTGCAGAATCCGCAGCCAGAAACCCCGGAAAGCAGCGACGCGACACCGAAAGCCTGGTGTAGGGGCCTTAATAATTCGAATATAGGGTTTTGTGGTATACTATACTATGCATATAATAAGGAGCCCCCCAAAATAATGTAGGTAATTATTAAGGCCCCCATAGTAGATGACTCCTTGCAGATCTGAACCTCTCATGGGCCAAGGTTGGGAGCACTAGGCGAGGCACGCGCGGAGTTCGGCACTTTCGGCTGCATTGTGCTGTTGTTGTTTTGACACACTTACTTTGCACAACCTGCCGCTTATGGGGATCTGATGTTAGTCCTTTTCATGTATGTCTGAGGGTTCGGATCGATAACATTGGACATAGTTCTCTTGCAGTGATTCCAGCTAGCGCCACGTGTTTTCGATGTGCAGGTAATTTTCTCGACTGCGTTTCGGCGGGTTTGAACTTCGTTTCATGCCACACCCGCGGCAGCTGCTGCTACTCCCTCCTCCTCCTCTTCCTCCTACTTCCTGTATGTTCCAATGGTTCTATCACGTCACTATCACTGAAGGAGCTGACGGTTTTGTTTGTGCTGCTGGCACCACAACATCAGCCGTCGCCGCGTCTTTCCTATAGTCGTGGGGGTGGTCATTCAGCTGATTGTCACTCTTCTTGGAGCAGTCTTACACCTGCTTATCTGCCGATTACTGCTGCTCCTCCCCGTTGCCCCTGAATGTGATTGTACACCCTCTTTCGACTTTGCTACTGCGACTGACCGCTCAGCCTGCACTGTTCGTCGTGTTCGCCCCGCGTCCCCCAGGCACCTGACGGAGTGAGTCGGTCGGACGCTTCCAAGTCCAAGCGCCTACCGACCCCTCAAGTCGAAACCGCAACGACCTAGTTGTGGAAAATTATACGATACTCTAATATAGTATACTATACTGTATGATTGTATATGATAATATACTATATTGTAGCGGAAACGTCAGAAGCAAGACACTCGATCTCAACGCCACTCCTGATTTTGTCAGACGGCAACCAGAAGCCTGACACATCCGCTTCAACGAAACGTAGACTCCCTAAGCCCTAAACCCGAAACCCTAAACCCACGGTTTAGGGTCTAGGGCACCCCGAAACCTAGCTGAGCAGCTCGCTGGAGGAGCTCGGGTGTACGGCGTGGTCGTTGGCTCCTGGGCTGTTGTTAGGGGGCCTCCTGAAGAAAGTGTTTGTTTCAATCGGTTGTGCAGGATTTATATGTATGTATATATATATATAGCTATAGCGGCTCTATGGGGTTTTCTAGGATTCGACTTCCCACAATTGGGTTTTCCTCCGTGCAATCGGAGGTGTTTGGCCTCAATCCCCGGGGCTCTCGTCGAACGTCAAGCCCGAACCTCTGAACCGCCAGTCCTCAACGCGTGGGCTAAGCCCCCAAACCTTGATCTCGGAGCTGTACCTGTTTTTTCCTGCTTGCGCGAGAGTTGTGGGTCGAAGCCTTAAGACCCTGAAGCCAAAGATCAGCCCCCAACTGAAATCCCAGATCCCAAGCCCTAAATTTGTACCCTAATGCCCCAAACTCGAAACCTTGAGCCCTCGACCCCAAGCCGTCCACGAGGAACAAAAAGAACCGCCTAGTACATGGACCTGGATAATTGCCAACATTAGTCCCCCATGTAGATATACTATAACACACAGGAAAATTCTAGTCTTCTTTCTATGGACCCTTCATGAGGCCTTGTTAGGCCCGGCTTTCCCGAACCTAGGCAGCAAGACTGGGGAGGTGATGCAGAGCTTGTGCTCCTCGGCTCTCTCGACTGTTTTTCCCCACCCTCGGTGTGGGGTTGTTAGAATTTTAAGTCAGCCATTACACCGGCCCGCTCCTCGTCCGCTCCTCGTCGGCTAAGACCTCCTCCAGAGACTGCCTGGAGTTCCCCCCCCCACAAAAAACTACCGTGAGACTCCCTGGAGTGCACAACCCCCCAGACTACCAAGAGACTACCGTGAGACTGAGGAGTGCCCAACCCACAAAATACCGTGACACTCCGTGGAGTCTCCAACCCGGGGACCCCCCAGCACCTTAGAGCCAGTCAGCGGTGTGCCCCCATCGAACACGTGTTTTGGTACGTGTAGGGACCCCACGTCCGTAACGCCAGTCAGTGGTGTGACCCCATGGGTCGTCGAATGACCTGAATCGAACGCTCGTGTCTTGTTCCGTGTACGGGGACCCCACGACCGTAACGCCAGTCTTTCTTGTAGGCATTGTCGGTTTAGGGTTAGGGTTAATTTGGGGTTCAGGTCCTGGAGTTATGAGATGCAACAGGAAGCGCCTGGGTTTTTGGGGTTCATTTTTACTGTCCTTACTGGTACCTTGGCATTGCGCTCTGTCATCCGCAGACGTCGAGCTTTGCGCCATCCGTGACGGTTCCCGGCCGGTTTTGCCATGCTGCCGGCGCAACTCCCGGAGAAAAACGCAGAGGGCTGCGAAGAGTTTGGGGCGGATGCCTTGGAGAAAGGTTCCGTTCACAAGGAGCTGGGGGGAAAGCTGCATTTTGCGTTGTCCGACATAGGGAACTGGGGCCTCGTCCTCCACTTCTTTTGTGACGGCTTCGTGGGGGGAGGCTGGGAGGACCTGTGGCAATCGGTCCTGGGTGGCTATCTCAACCTGCCAAGCAATCTCATAAAGGGCTGTGCCAACTTGGTGATTCTTCCCTTCACCTTTTCCGCATTCCTTGGGATGCTCTCCGACTCAAAGCCAATCTTCGGTTTCCGGCGCCGTCCTTACATGGCAGGTGGCTGGTTCTTGTGCACTCTCAGCACGCTCTGTCTTGTATACCGTGGCTTGCCTGCCCCATACTACTGCTTCGAGAACGGTCACTACCTCTACCAGATGCCACCTTGCAACCCCGAAGCAGCAGATCATTTCATTCCCGTGGTTCTCTGTCTCTGCTGCGCGACTGTGGGAGGGGTGACGGCCAATGCTGCAGCAAATGGACTACTCGTGGAGTATGCAAAGCAGGAGGCAGTGGAGAGAAGGGGCCGGACGCAGATAGTGCTGCAAATGGTCAAACTCAGCGGCCACCTCACCTCCGTGCTTTTGTCTGCCTTTGGGTTCAATGGCAGAATGTTTAACGGCAGCTTCGAGCAGGCCAGGCAGCTCAACTTCCAGCAGCTGATGGGCATCTACCTTGCGGCTGTGGCGGTGACATCTGTAGGTTGCTTGTTCCTCGTCCGGGAAAACAAGGCTGTCAGATCGTCCTTCAGGGAACAGATGTCCTCGGTCTGGAACCTGACGCAGAGTAAGGCTTTCTTGTTCGTGGGGCTTTTCGTCTTCCTTCGGACATTAATGGGTCACATCAACTCAACTGCCGGAGTATGGGTCATGATGCAGTGGGCCGAAGTGAGGGGCATCCAGATTCAGATGAGCAATGCCCTTTCGCTCTTGATCTCCCTCGCGGCCAGTTACCTGATGCGGAGATACTTGCTAAACACGAGCTGGAGGAAGATCATCTTCGTCACAAGCTCCGTCTCCACTGCCACGGACAGCCCCTGGGACTTGCCGTAGCTGCAGCCCCGGATCCTAGACCCTAAAACTCCTAAACCCCAAAACTCCTAAACCCTAAGACCCAAATACACCTAAGCCCTAACAAACTCCTAAACCCGACACTCCAAAAAACCCTAAATAGACCTAAACCCCTAAACTCCCAAAGCCCCAGACCCCCGAAACCTCTGCTAGCTCCGGCCTTTGAGGCATCCCTCAGCTTCTGACGGTCTTTGACATCGTGCGGGATCCCTACTTCTACCTCGGGGAGCCGATCTCCCGTGCGGTTCCGACTGCCATGAATCATCTCATCACGGCTCCTCAGCTGAATTTGCTTAGAGGGTTTAGGGGTTTAGGGTTTAGGGTTTAGGGAGGCTTGGAGCAAGGATCTTGAGGTTTGTTGGGAGCCGTGTTGCTGGAGATGGGGCAAGACTGAGAAGAGTGCGTTGGTTTTGTGCTTTCTGCAGCACCTTTTGCTGTCTCTGGACCGTGTTGGGATGTGCTCTGAATACTTCCTTTTCGTTACACTCAGGTAATGATGGCGAACGAATTGGCAGACGACGACAACGGCGCCATGGTAGCTGGCATGCTTCAGTCGGTCACTTTCGTTGCGATCCTCTTCGGCATGGTTGTGTCGAACCAGCTCTTCTCCTCCTTCACGCCAGCCCTGACGCTTCGGGAGAACTTCATCGAAGATGCGGTCTCCTTTCGGTGGACGGTGGCCTATTCCTACCTCGTCGCGTACACTTTCAGCTTTGCATCTCTCGCCCTGCTCCCCCTGGCGCCGGCCCAGAAGAAGCAGGCGCAAGCAAGGAAGCAGGAGCCAGGGCTGCACCTTCAGTGCTCTTTGGAGTTGTGAGCTCTTTGAGATTCTACCCTAAACCCTAAACCCTAAACCCCCCAAAAAAAAACCCTAAACCCTAAACCCAGCAGAGAGCCTTGCCTGCTGCGTGCGAGCGTGAGTGTCGAAACCCAGCAGCAGCAATTGTAGCAGCTCAGGAGTGGAGCAGAGCGAACTTGGGGTAGTAGTGAAGTGACCGTGGTAATTCGTAGTAGAAGATGGTAGAAGCGCTATAGTTGTAGTCGTAGTCGTAGCCTTCGTGGTGGTAGTAGTGGTAGCAGTGCTGGTCGTTTTTCTTCGTCGTAGGGGTAGAACTTGCTGAAGCAAGAGAAGCCAGGATAAAAGTCCAGTGACTGCCAGAGGCTTCTTCAATCATCAAACCAACACCACTAGTACTGCATTTTTCCGCTTGTAGTGCGGCTGCATTCCACAAGCCTCAATGTGACCTGTGCTTGGTCACTACCCACTAGCTGTTGTCGCAAGATTTTTGAAAATGCACCTGTCACCACAGTTCTGCGTGCTGCGAGGAATGGTCGCGCCGGCCATCCTTTGCTATCATGCTGGCAGCGGTGCTGGGATTCTCCTTCCTGTACTCGTTGACAGCCGATTTTCTGCTGTTCGAACCCAAGCGAAGATGCATGCATTTCCTTGGTGGCCCAGGTTGCTAGGCCACAGAAGGCGGCCAAGGCCTGGTAATTCATGCCACCTTGTTTCCAAGGATTTTCCCTTCGCATTCGCCGAAACGGGCTGATGCAGTTTTTGTGTTAGAAGCATGAAAGCTTGAGGGCTGCGTTGAGAATTCCCCTGCTGGCAGACAGCCTCGTTATATCCCAGCTGATGAGTTAATTCGAACCACCTAAGAAATGCCGACAACACGACAGCTGCAACAGGAGCGGAACCAGCCAAACGACAACCAGCGTCATCACCATCACCATCATCGCTAATTTAACAGCTCCACCATCACCACAATAGCAACAGCCGCAATAAGCATCAGCAACACAGCATGGGGATTCACAGCGGAAGTCTGCAAGCCCTTACCTTGTTAGCAGGACACTTCTTTTGTCAATCCGTGACAGCTCCCTAGCGTGGCAGAGCGGGGCTTCAACAGAGCGGGCTCCTTGCCTCGGACTGTCTAAGTTTTGGGGCCGCCTTGCGTCCCAGAGAATTCGTTTTCTTGCCGAGCTTGGCTGGAGATGTACCGACAGCTGCGCCTTTGGAGGCGATTGTCTTGATGCCTCGCCTAAAACACAGGGGTTTCAGGGACGTTCGAACCTTCAGCCCGGCAGCCCGAAACCCTACTTCTTGCGGCCAGCATCTTTTGATACCGACATTGTGTGATATCGACCACGGAGAGTTTCTGGGTGTATCTAGTACAGGAGCACCTGGCACAGTCGGAAGGAGAATAGAACGAAGTTGATACAACTTACCATGCATCTTATGCGGTGCACTGCAGGACCAGCCCACAAGGCAGCCAACACAAGACGCAAAATCAAGTATTGGTAAATAGTGCAGTTCCCACAGTGATGGCCCCTTTTACCAGCCCCCTTGTGTCGGTCCTGAATCCAAAACGAGCCGAATTGTTAAACTTACTCCGCTTTGTTGCTTGCAGGAGCCATGGTGCTTTCTGAAAGGGTGGGCGGGTGAGGGTTGGGAGTGGTTGTGATGGGTTTGAGTTTTTTGTCGTCGGTGACGCCTTCCGTTTTACATGGACTTATGCGATCTTTTTGTTCCGGCTTCAAACCTTAAACCCTACCCCCGAGCCCTAAACCCGAAAGCCTAACTTCGAAGTTTGAGAAGTACCCAGGCTCGGAGCTTTACCACTTCACTCGCCGCGCAGATGGCAGCTGGCCAAGCTGGCTCTAAGTGCTTACCGCAGCTCTTGCAAGGTTGAAGGTTGCAGTCCAGGCAGTTTAGATTCAGATGCCATGAACTCGTCTTTCCATTCACAAAGCCCTAAACCCTAAACTAAACTGAACAAAACCCTAAACCCTAAACTAAACTAAACTAAACTAAACTAAACTAAAAAACTAGATGCTAGACAAGACGGATGAAGAAGGGTTTCATCCACAGCATCCGCAAGAACGCTTCAGTCGTGAAGCTGCGCAGCTGCAGCTAAGTCTCCTATAGAGTTCGATGGTATGCAGTGTGCTAAAGTGCAGTAGGGTGCTTGCAATGTAACGTTTGATGCAAAATATACTGTGCGTGAAATCAACTACTATATCTTCTACTACTGCTACTACTACTACTGCTGCTGCTGCTACTACTACTGCTGCTGCTGCTGCTGATGATACTACTACTACTACTACTACTACTACTACTACTACGACTACGACTACGACTACGACTACGACTGCGACTACGACTACGACGACTACGACTACGACTACGACTACCACTACGACTCTACGACTACGACT